TTAAAGTTGCAGAATTCTGGGAGTTGAAGTCCACCCCTCTTAAAATTGCAGAATTCTGGGAGTTGAAGCCCACCCCTATTAAAATTGCAGAATTCTGGGAGTTGGTCTACCCCAATAAAGTTGCAGAATTCTGTGAACTGAAGTCCACCTCTCTAAAACATTGCAGAATTCTGGGAGCTGAAATCCACCCCTCTTAAAGTTGCAGAATTCTGGGAGTTCCTAGTCCTTCTTTTCTCTAGACTGGCCATACCCAATTCTGGCAATTCTTCCTTATAATTTCAGCTTTTAGTCCCCTAATCCTCTTTGTTGCTCAAGAACCTCCAGAACCAGCCCTAGATCTTTTGATTTGGGTGGTCTAATAAGGAGGAGAAAGTGAATAAAGAGAGTCTGTTCCTTTGACCGAGAGGGAGCCGATGGACAAATATTTATGAGCATACTTGGAATTCTTTTTACCAAAGAAAAGTTTCTGTACAAGTCTAAACAGAGTTTGTTATCAGAGTTTTTGAATGATTGGCATGTGAAGACGGCAACGCTGGCTCTTTATATACCGTAATTCAGTCATTTCGAACCCTGTCCCCACCCAAGCAGCCTTCTCTAACTTCCAGAGATTAACCAGGATTAAGACCTGGTTAGCACAGAAAGTCCTCGGCGTACAACCTGAGCTCAACCTTTATGACAGTGAAGTGAAACATGCGTTTTAAGCAAGTTGTGCCCCATTTCACGACTTTTCTCACATTGGATAAGTGAATCCCTGCCATCGTTAAATTAGCAACACGGTTGTTAAGCAAACCTGACTTCCCCATTGACTTGGCCCATCAGAAGGTCACAAAAGGGGACACGGCGACTGTCGTAAATGCGACTCGGTTGCTGAGCATCTGAATTTTGATCACATGACCACGGAAGTCCTGCGATGGTCATGTGAAAAACAGTCCTAGGTCACTTTTTTCCAGTGCCGTTGTAACTTCAAATGGTCACTAAATGAACTGTTGTAAGTCAAGGACTGCTGTAGTTTATATTTGAGATTACTGTTACAATGGTAAACGAATTAAGCATCCAAACTGCGGTGAATGGATGAGCGTTTTCCCACTACTTTGGGATAATCTACAAAATTTATGTTCACCGGTTCAAAAAACAAAAAACAAAGTTCTCTTCACCAGAACTTTTCAAGAAACAAACCTCGGATCCAGTGGTGGTATTCAACCAGTTCACACCGGTTTCACCAAACAGGTTGTTAAATTGCTGGCTTGTCCCATTTTGGCTCCCAGGTAAGTGCAGGGAGATCTACTAGGCCCATGATGGCGAACCTGTGGCATGCATGCTGGAAGTGGCACATAGAGCCGGCACATGAGAGGTCACCTGGAAGAGCAGCACTGCGCATGCACACACGCTGCCCGCCTGACAGCTGATTGTTGGGTATCTGGTGCGCATGCACGGGAGGAGGGTGCACAGGAGATGCGCATGCATGCGCAGAGACACATGGGGTGCATGGGAGTTCATGTGCGCATGGGCAAAAACGCACAGCATGGGGGAGGATTGTATGCACATGTGCAGAGATGTGCGGCGTGCAGGGGGTTACACATGTATGGGTAGGGGGTGTGGGGTACCCATGCACACATTGACTTCTGGGTGCTGGCATGCGAGTGCACAATTTTCGGCCTAGGAGCGGTGCAGCCCCCTTGTGGTCCATTTTGGCTCCCAGGTAAGTGCAGGGAGGCCCAGTAGGCCCAAAACGGGGCATGGGGGTATGGCATGCCCCCCATGGTCCGTTTTTACCACCAGGGGTCTGCAGGGAGGCTCACTAGGCCCAAAACAGGGTGCAGGGGGTGCAGCACAGAGGGGCCACCCATGGCCTGTTTTTGCTCCCAGGGAGGTTCAGGAGGCCGAGTGCTGCCTTTCACACCCCTGGCCACACCCACCCCACCAGTCATTAGGGCAGAAAACCAGCTGTTAAATTATTTAAATCCCACCACTGCGCTGAATCTCTTAACAACTTCTGCTCTTTGCACCCAGTTTTAAATCAGGAGCAGGGGTTCACAGATGGTGGGTTTATCTGTGGTGTGAAAGACATTGTAACATCAAAGGGCTGAGTTGTTCAGGAAGAGAGAGAGAGTAAAACACACACAAGTAAAATGATGGAGAGAATGTTTATTTAAGACAATCATTCCTCCTGCCTGTTAACATTTCTTGATTTATTTATTTTTTATTATCTTAGGCAAGAATTGGAATGGCAGGAATGAGAACAAATGGCAGGACCCACAGGGTTGGAAAACTTCCCAACTAAGAACTTAAATCAAATTTAATTTCATTTATCCCAAACAACCTACGTCGACAAGGAATATCTTTGGCAGAAAATATAATAATTTGTCTTCAGCTTCCCTCCTTCTCTCGTGTCTAAGGCAGAGTCAGGGACTTAACACTGAAATCTCATCTCTCATATTAAATCATTTCAATTAATTGCTTAGTATTAAATTATTCTAAGTTGGCATTCTGGGTCCTATGCTGTGATGACTCAAAGGGGCATAGCACAAAGGCAACACAGTCAAATAAGCAATAAGAGTCCCTTTATTAGCTCCAACTTTGCCCCCAATGTCCTGGTTACCTTCTGGGCTGGAGAAAAACTCTCCCAGGAACAGCCTTTCTCTGCAGAGAATCAAGTCCAAAACATGGTCAACAAAAACTGTAACTATAAGTCCAAGGTAAAATGAGGTGATTAGTCCAGCAGGGCAGGAGCAAGAATTCCAGGCGTGAAGGCACGCAATAACTCAACACGGTTGGGAAGACACCAGGATCACAGATAAGCAAAGACAACCCAGGATAAACTCATGTTTGTTCCCAGCAGATGCTGCACTCAGTAAGCAGCTCTTTTAAACTCTCATTCCCAGTTGTGGCTAATGAAGGTAATCAGGGCCGTTTCCTCCCCCATAAGCCATGCAACCCATGTTGCTCCCTTCTCCGTTCTTCCCTGCGTGATCTAGGATGAAGAGGAGGTGGGCCTGGGTCTTCCTCTGAACTCCCTCTCCCTTGGTTAACCTCTCCCCTGTTCTGCTCAGCTGGAATCTGGAAGTCTCCGTATCTTTCTCCTGATTGGGGCACCAGGCTCCAAAGATCAAGTGTGGTGAAACAACAATAGGACAACAACAACAACAACAACAACAACAACAACAACAACAACAACAACAACAAAAGAAACAACCATCTGTTGTCTTCTGCTTCAGAGCTTCTCGAAGGTATCTTCCTTTGAGAAACAAACTGATGGACTAAAATGGGTTAATATTTTTGGATTAGAGCAGAATTACAGAGTTGGAAGGGACCTTGGAGGTCTTCTAGTCCAACCCCCTGCTTAAGCAGGAAATCTTGTACCATTTCAGGCAAATGGCTGTCCAATCTCTTCTTAAAAACTTCCAGTGTTGGAGGATTCACAACTTCTGGAGGCAGGCAAGTCATTCCACTGATTAATTGTTCTAACTTTCAGGAAATTTCTCCTTGGTTCTAGGTTGCTTCTCTCCTTTATTAATTTCCATCCATTGAGATTTACTAATCTGAAACACAGA